CAGACTGGGGAATGTCTTCACTTGAAAGGAAACAAGAGAGAATAGGAAACACATACATTCAAACACTTGCTTGTCTAAGGTCCCCTCTCTTCTGCTGACTTTGTCGCACAGTTTCACAGGAGGTATAGTAAAGCATACGCAATGGAACAGACGAGGTACAGACAAAATGTAGAATGATTTGAGGGAAAAACAGTTTTGTTGATAAACTAAAAAGGAAAGATTGGAACAGAGCTGATGGAAACAACCACTGAAGCAGTGTCACAGAGGATTCTGATTATGAGAGGAAAACTGTTTAGAAGACATAAAGACGTGAAAAATTCGATGTGAAAGGGACAAGTGGAAACACGAAAACCGGGAATGAGTGGGTAGAAAATGGAGGAAAAATGGGTAAAAAAACATGACAATTTATAGAGAGAAATCAACACCAGGAGAGGATGAAGGGCCAAAATAAGAAAAGCAAGAAGTTCTGTGGTGGAACATGAGAGAGTGTTCTACTGTAGCAGTAATAACAAAGGTGAAAAGGAAAGCCAGGTAAAGGAAAGTGAGCGAGGAAACAATCAGTGGAGGAAAGAGAAAACTTTGAGTAAGAAGAAATGAGGATGAGTAAAAGATTAAAGAAACAAACAGGAAAAAAACAAACCAGAGTTGAAAAGAAAATACCATAAATAGAAAAGTGGAGCTGAGCAGAACACAAAAGATGAGAGTAGGCATGAAAATATGTGGAAATATGAGATGAAAGACAAGATGAGAATAAAGGATCAGAGATGGAAAAAGTAGTGGCAGATGGCTGGACAGGAGGACGGTGTGAAATGAGACAACTTGGACAAGGAAAAGAGGGCGGGAGGAGAAAGCAGAGACAAGAGAGTAGAAATTTCAGATAAAGGGAAGAACAAAATTGAATAAGATCACAAATGTGTTACAACAGTGACACATAGTGGTCATTTGCTTAACTGCACTCTGAGGAAAGTGAATTGATTCAATATCAATTTAATGGAAAATACTTGATAGATTAGCAAGATTGTTGAAAAAGCCATTTACAAAAATGTAGCCTATATAATATTGATATTTGATATTTAATACAAAAATATTAATGTTCAGAATATATATTATAAATTATATTTTTAGATATATTTGAAGTGTTTTAGCTTAAATATTT